TGCTCACTCAGCAAGCTGGCTCTCCCCACCCGGGACTAGTTTAAATGGAACTGATCTGGTAGTGACTGGCTGCAAAAACGTCCGTTTTGTCTACAACACGGGAGCTCCCCAAGGAGGCCCACGTCGTCACATTCCTCACATCCTTGGCTCCTGTGACAAGGTCCTCGTGGGAATCAATGAGTGAATGGAAAGAGAATTGAGGAAATAGAACCACATAAGACTTCCCCTGCATCTAAACCCATGATGCCCACTCAAGTGTTATGGCAGTTCATGAAATGCCTTTTTTAAGGTACTGCACACTTCTCAAAACCAATCCTCACTTCTTTTTTTTTTGAAGCAATCTATAGTGTACCACGTCTCCAAGTCTAACATTTACCCGGTTTTGCAGTTTAGAATGTCACTTTTTAAATGTTTCAACACCTTTCCTCTCCTGATATGTGTTTTCTAGTTTGAATCAGAAGTTTTGTAAACTTTTTAGCTTCTAAAAAATGTGACTGCAGTGGGTTTTTTTTTTACCCCTCCCCCAGAGCTTTCTTGTTATTTGTCAAAAGTTTCAATAATGATCAGCAACATATCCTCCGGGTCATTCCTCCTAAAATTGCCACCCTGAGACTATCAGTCTTATAAAAAGCCTGGGCTGACAAAAAGCATCTTTTTCTCCATAACTGTATGTGTGTGTGTCAGTAGCTGTACCAAGTAGAAGAAAATCTCTAAAAATAACAGTGATGCACTTGAAAGGACGGGTGGGTCTATTGCCAGGGGATTGGACATGATGGTTAGAATTATGATGAACATTGTGCCAATGTTGTTGAATAATGAATCTCATTGATAATTATGGGGGTTTTGCTTGTTGTATTTTCCCCTGAAATTCACAGGGGAAAATAAGTGGAATCTTACACAGTTAGGCTGATGGAAGGGAAAACTGCCACAAATATTAAATGCACTCAGACACTTACAGTCACGGACACAACATAAGCACCAGAACACACTGGGACAAGGACACACAGGGTCTCCATGTCCCGGGCCTGACCCTCTTACAGGCTGAGCCCTTTATCACATTTTATAACTCACGGGAAGCTCTTCTTCATCATAGAAATTCCATTCCATTTGAGACACGTCACCTTTATTTTCTTTGTATCACTTGTGGACATTTTGCATATTGAAAATGTGTTCTTAATTAAGGATATTTTTTATACTCACGAATAGTAACAGTATCAGGTCTCAGAAACAAGTTTTTTCCTTTGGACAGAAATTAGTCAGCAAATTTCCCAGGGCAGCATGTACTTTCCACACACCCTGGTGCTCCATGGTGTGGGGGAGAGATGTTTACTCAAGTCGAGGGTTGGTACGGAGAAGGGAGAAAGATGGGGGAGGAGGGGGAGGTGCCTCTGTGGTCCTGCCTGTATCACTGCCCGGGGCTGCACCTGTGGGCGCTCTGATGGAAGGGAGCCCTCTCACCACAGCCCAGAGGCTGCGTGAGGCACGGTGTGAGACACGAAGCTTCTCTTCACCACGATGCCACTCCAGCCTCACCCATGGATGTGAGGAAGCTGTGTGACCATATCATAAACCTCCATTCACTGAAAGCACAGTGATTTGCTTGAAATACCAGCTTTTCCTCTGAACCATCATCCCTGCCCCTCAGCACTGTTTTACTGAGTTTTACTGAGAAGGAAAACACTGTCCGTTCTAGTTAGAAGACATTGATTTTGCAGGAGCATCCTGACTAAAACTTGGGAAAAAATATCCACAATGATTTACAGTAGCAGCTAGATTGTATTTAATTAACCACTTCTCCAATAAAGCTTATTATTTTGTAGTTAATGAAAGATATGATATTGATGGGTTTCCCAGATGGTGCTAGTGGTAAAGAACCCACCAGCCAATGCAGGAGAGACTTGGGTTCCAACCCTGGGTGGGGAAGATCCCCTGGAGGAGAAATGGCAACCCACCCCAGTATTCTTGCCTGGGGGATCCCATGGACAGAGGAGCCTGGCAGGCTATAGTCCATAGGGTCACAAAGGGGGGGACATGACTGAGATGACTTAGCACAGCACCTGATGTTGGTACCAGCATAGAAGGGAGATGTGAAACCAACACAGATAACAGGAATTTATAGCTGATAAAAGAATCTATCACAAAATTCTTTCTGTTCCAGGTTTTACTCTCTTCTAAAAATAAATAGGTAGATACAAAAAAATACATACTACATTACCTTTGGCTCCCTCTGCCAAAACAGAACTTAGCCATTTAAAACTAGTCTTCAGTTCAGTTCAGTCATTCAGTCATGTCCAACTCTTTGTGACCCCATGGACTGCCGCATGCCAGGCTTCTCTGTCCATCACCAACTCCCAGAGCTTGCCCAAACTCATGTCCATCAAGTCGGTGATGCCATCCAACCGTCTCATCCTCTGTCATCATCCCCTTGTCCTCTTGCCCTCAAGCTATTCTTAAGCAGCATAAAATTGAAGTTTTCTCTCCAGCACTTGTGGGGGACCAGGCACTGTGCCAGGTTTGGGGCTAGAAAGATTTATCAGGCAAGGTCCCCATCCTCAAAATTTTACAGTGTTGGTGGGGAGACAGGGATGGGGCATATTGGTCTACAGTAGAGACCAGCTCAGATCTACAGGATGGGGGGAGGGGGGACACAAGAAGGGGACTGGAGGCAGGGAAGCCACTGGCATTGGGGTGGGGCTCAGTGAGAGCCTGAAGCCCCAGGCCAGGCAGAGGGAATGATCTGACAGATAGCATGCATGGAGCCCAGAGAGTGAAGCAGCAGGGAGGGGATCTCAGCAAGGCGGGCTGCCCATGGTGTGGCCAGAAGCCAAGTTAGGCACTGTCTTTAAAAGATTACGGTTTGACTCATTCAGCCTCCAGAAATGTGTCTTGTGCAATGTTGAGCAAGCAAGCAAGAATTAAAGCAGCATCAGTCATAACAGGTCACAGGGTCCTGGGCAGGAGCCTGGTCACCTGGGAGGAGTGACACTGTGATGCGGGGCTGGGTCCCTGCTGACCAGGACAGCATGTCCTCAGGGACACCCTCTCCAGGACTCCTGGTTCAGTGACAGAGCAATAAGCAGAGCCATATCCAGAGTGTGGCCACATTTACATAAAGACAAAAAGGAGGAAGACGGGAGTGAACCTGGGCAATGGCTGAAATGAGCCCAGGCTGTGTTGGGGAAGACAGAGGGTAGAAGTTCACCCACAGGCGGGGTGGCAGCTGGGAGGTGCCCAGGTAGCCTACCCATCTCCCCGTGAACTTTTCAGTGCCTTTTGAATTTGATGTCAAGTGCAAGCTTCCCATAGGAAAATAATTAAATACAATATAATTGATTTAAAATAGAAACTGAACCACATCTATTCTGTGCACTTAAATTTTTAAATTCAAAAAGCACCCTGGGGGAAAAAATTGACATAAACAAGAAAAAAGACAAGGGGTACCCCCAAACCCCCAAAAAAAGCACCATGGTCTCCATAAAAGAGCAGAGGGAGTAGGGGAGGGGAGGGAAGAAACTCCAACTCTGAGGGTGCAGGTTCCCAGAGGAGACAGGGAACAGGAGACCCAGCCAGTCCAGCCCCTCCCCTCAGAAGTCCAGGTGAGCCGAGGACGTTAGTATCAGTACTGCCCCCTGGAAGGGGCTCTCCCCCAGGGCTGCTGCTGTTGTCCAGTCATTCAGTCGTGTCTGTCTCTTTGTGACCCCATGGACTGCAGCATACCAAGCCTCCCTGTCCATCACCAACTCCCGGAGTTTACCCAAACTCATGTCCATTGAGTCGGTGATGCCATCCAACCATCTCATCCTCTGTCGTCCCCTTCTCCTCCTGCCCTCAATCTTTTCCAGCATCAGGGTCTTTTCTAATGAGTCAGTTCTTTGCATCAGGTGGCCAAAGTATTGGAGCTTTAGCTTCAGCATCAGTCCTTCCAATGAACACCCAGGGCTGATCTCCTTTAGGATGGACTGGTTGGATCACCTTGCAGTCCAAGGGACTCAAGAGTCTTCTCCAACACCACAGTTCAAAAGCATCAATTCTTTGGCACTCAGCTTTCTTTATGGTCCAACTCTCACATCCATATATGACTACTTGTAAAACCACAGCTTTGACTAAACAGACCTTTGTTGACAAAGTAATGTCTCTGCTTTTTAATATGCTGCCTAGGTTAGTCATAGCTATTCTTCCAAGGAGCAAGCATCTTTTAATTTCATGGCTGCAGTCACCATCTGCAGTGATTTTGGAGCCCCCCAAAATAAAGTCTGTCACTGTTTCCATTGTTTCCCCATCTATTTGCCATGAAGTGATGGGTCTGGATGCCATGATCTTAGTTTTCTGAATGTTGACTTTAAGCCAGCCTATTCACCCTCCTCTCTCACTTTCATCAAGAGATTATTTAGTTCCTCTTCACTTTCTTCCATTAGAGTGGTATCATGTGCATAATTTGTGGTTCTTGATATTTCTCCCAGCAGTCTTGATTCCAGCTTGTGACTCATCCAGCCCAGCCTTTCTCATAATGTACTCTGCATATAAGTTAAATAGGCAGGGTGACAATAAGCAGCCTTGACATACTCCTTTCCCAGTTTTGAACTAGTCAGTAGTTCCATGTCCTTTTCTCTCCCAGGGCTACCACTGGGAGAAAGTTAGAACCCAAGGGAATCAGGTTTGGTAACAATTCCATCCCATGCTTTCAGCTTACAATCCAAAACAGCGACCAAGTAGTCACATTCCTGAGATACATGGGATAATGTCTAGCTTGTTTAATTTAATCATTTCAGTTTCTTCTGTACGAAAAAACATCCTCCAGATGCTCGCATGTGCAGGCAGAGAAAACAAAGCAGAATTCCACATCCTGTACAGAAATCCACACCCTGAACTGAAATTCCATCTCAGACTTTGAGGATGGATGTGAATTTGTTTATCAGTTTCAAACTGTGTCAGTAGGAAAACATTTTAGAGTATTTTAAGAGTTTATGTTGTGTTGTTTTTTTTTTCTTCCCCCTTCCCAGGATAGTGAAACTAACAGAGGAGAATATGAAAAGAAGAGAAACACTCGTGACCTTTCCCGGGAGATCTCAGAAGACAGTGATGTGTTTGGTACGTAACATGAAAATGAGAAGATGTGATTTCCTATGGTGATCGTGGGCAAACACATTCTCATTTGGAGAAGGTCTTAATTTTTTAATTACACGAGTGAACTGTGAATCCGTTCTCACTGTTAGAAGAGCAGGCTGTACAGAAACCTGGAGGCTAAGTCCCCTCCATCCACCTCCTGAGAACACCCTTGCATTCTCCGCCCCCATGAGACTGCCCTGGCCACCCTCAGTACCCGTCTCCATCTTGCTTGTGCTCTTGGTTGGGTTTCACGTGCTGTTTTATGCCCACAGACACCAGAAATTTCCCAGGTTTCCCCTTGCTATGCGCTGTTTCTCTGATCATTTATTTGATCAATTGGGTGTGGACATTAGAAGTGGTAACAGTGCACGTTAAAAATATCTAATGAGGAAGGGCAGTAGTCCCAGGGCCTGGACACGCTGGTGTTTATTTTAACTACCAAGAGTGACTCAGGAGGTGTTGGGAAATATGTTTTCTGTAAAAGTTTACTTACTCGTCGCCCTGGAGATGGAGGTTGCCTCTCACCCCAGGAGTGAAGAGGCAGGTTCCCACTGATTTTTGTATATTCACTCTTGGGTCCCCCTCTGCTGCGTGATGGTGACCCTGGGTGACTCACCCAGGGCCACAGGACAAGCTGGGGCTAGAGCAGACCTGCCCGTAGGTATCGCTCCTTTCTCCATGTGTTCGTATTCCTAGAGGCCAGCTCCTGGTAGCTCGCTTATCAAAACGGAGGGGCTGTTCTCTGGCTGCTAAGACATACCTTAGCCACTGTCAGCCCTGCCTGCAGGTCTGCAGTCACAGAACCAGGCCTCACCACAGGGTCTGGCCAGGTCTCTGCTTATTTCTAAGAAGAGTCTCTTCACACTTCACTTGTCAGGCAGGAAAATCCACCCCAGTTTTTTTAATTTTGTTCCCGATCTATCTGCTGTTTTTAAAAAATCCTTTCTTCTTCTGTAATCCCATCCTGTTGAGCGGCACACAAGAAGGATGGAACTAGACAGAGTACCGCTGCCCATTTTCTCAGTATCTTAAGCTTCCACGAAAATCAACCCAAAGGCCCAGAGACGAAGCCCTGAGGGTTAGTGTGGTGGAGTCAAGATAGGCAGGTGGGAGAGGAGCCACTGCTCTTTGCTGATTTCCATGGGGGTTTCTTGGGGCCTGAACAGCCCAGCGCCTCTTGGTGGTGGGGTTTGCGCTCTATGGGGGCAGAGGAAGGCGGGGGCAGCCTGCCTGGAGAGCAGCCTGCTTTCCTTAGGGTCTAGAGGGGGCACAGTCTGTGAGTCTGTACAGTCTCCGAGTGCCAGTGACTTTAACACTAAAGCTGCCCGTATCCTCTAGATTAAAAGGTGTCTTTAGTCTTCTATTCCAACCGCATACGTGTATAAACACATAAAAGAAAATGACAAAACAGAAATGTCCAATTTTAGGTTCTACACACGAAGAAGAGCAAGATTTTAGAGTTGTTTCGGCTAAGCTCACTTATTTTTAAAGTAAGCATCATCTTTATCATTATTCTCCAGGTTAGCTGCTTTTAGGATTATTCATAACAACATCAGCCTTTTCTTTTGCTATCAGCATGCCCACACACAGTTTTATTGATATATACATGTGTATAATGTCTGTATGACATGAAAACAATCTATTATAAGCCTTTTCCTTAAGTTATAAATGTGGTATAATTCCTGAAGTACTTTGAAAGGTAGCCCTCTTTAACCTTCTCAGATCCATCTGCAATTTGGAGAGTTTTTTATTATCTAGAGTTGAATGTGAAACCCAATGGAAGCGCAAACATCCCAGTCCAAAGCTAGGTTTGCTTTTTACTGGGAAGAATCGGGCCGTCAGCCAGCTTCTGCCTGTCTTGCAACTGTGGGCGCCCGGTGCCTTAAACAGTAAGACCAGCTCAAATATCTGCTGATCTGAGGTTCTGCTCACAGCCCAGGCTCTCAGCCCGTCAGGGTGACTGGGGAGCAGTTCCCTACTCGTCACCCTCAGGGCGAGAGCCACGGTCACCGCTGAGTCACAGCCGGGGGAAGTGTGACCGCAGATGGGGTCGCCCGGGACAGGACCCCTCCCAGCTCCCCTGCCTTGTGCTCCGCCGTCCTGAGTCACACAGATGTGGACCCTGCAGGGCTGTCAGACGTCTGCTCTGGAACTTCATATAACCTCCCGATCTGAATGCCTTCCTGGGGGTCCAAAGACACCCGGCCTAAAGGTGCGGAGTGATGAGGGAGAAAGAGGCTGAAATAATCTTGGCTATCAGTCTTGACTGTCTGCTCTTGGGGGAAGTATATGTGAATTCTTGTCAAATTTCTGAAGTGTATACAAATGTCATTCCAATGAAATCAGCAACTGGGTCTTTCCCTGACCAGACAGAAACTCCCTAAACACAAGAGGAAACTGTGCTCCCATGATGGTCCATGAGCCACGAGTCACCAGCAGCCACTTAACCACGCTCCTCAGGCTTCTGGGCATCCTTCTGTCCACGTGTCAGGGAACTCGGGGGTGGGTGAGGGGTGCGGAGAGGTCATCAGCCTTTTCCTAACCCGAGTCTGTGGAATGCGTGTCCTCGGGGTCACGGCGGAGGTCAAGGCAGCTCTGTGAGAGTCCTACTTAGAGGCCCGATGGAGAGTTTACAGGCTCTGACCGGTGCTGACCCCACACAGGGTGCTGAGTGCGGGCTCACATGCCCGAAGCCATGAGCTGCACAACTCAAACCAGAGGGACTTCCTCTGTGTCTGGGGAACGCCTGCAGGCTTTCTTGGGCTCAGGCATGTCAGACTCTGTGACCCCACGGATTGTAGCCTGCCAGGCTGCTCTGTCCATGGGATTCTCCAGGCAGGAATACTGAAGGGGGTTGCCACTCCCTCTCCAGGAGATCTTCCCGACCCAGGGATCGAACCTGGGTCTCCTGCATTTACCACTGTGCCACCTGGGAAACCCCAGACTTACTTATCAGTTATATTGACTTTTTCATTTCCTCGGAAATTTTTACTGAATGATGTAGATCTAAGTTAATAACTCATTGGCGCGCTCTTGGAAATCTTTCTGTACTTTGTCTTTGGGCCACAAGTGGCTACACTCGGGACTGTTTTGCCTGGTCACCCAAAGAGGAAGAAACAGTTTAGGACTCCGTCACCCTATGAGAAGCATGTGCTGCCTGGGCTTTGGGGAACCAGGGTTTTCTGCGGTGGGACAGTCACTGGGCTTTTTTTGAACCTCACATCCACACACTCGGCACAAACTAGCCTTGTGGTTGGAACTCCAGGCAGGAAAGAAGGTAGACGCTCACCCAGCCTCCTCCCCCAGCGCTCACTAGTCAGGGGGCTAAAGCAGGGCGGGCGGCTCAGCCGAGGTGGGCAGAAGACTCGGGTCTCCCTGACGATGCCCAGAGGACAGGAGTCTCCAAGAGAGGGCAGCCCTGCTCTGTCCAGAGTGACGTGGTCCCCTCCAGACATGCTGCTCGCCTCAGAGGCGGGAGCAGACGGAGTCCTGTCACACTGGGTGGGCGCTAGTGCAGCCCACAGGGTCACGGGGTCCTGAGCACGCACCGAGTCAGGTCAGACAATGGAGGTAGAGTTGTCCAGGTTCGATGTCTAGGGGGAAAGGACTCATATTAGAAACATCTGAGTATATGTATATAAGTATAAGGACTTCCCTGGTAGCTCAGCTGGTAAAGAATCCGCCTGCAATGCAGAAGACACAGGTTTGATCCCTGGGTCGGGAAGATCTCCTGGAGGAGGGCATGACAACCCACTCCAGTACTCTTGCCTAGAGAATCTCATGGACAGGGGAACCTGGTGGGCTACAGTCCACGGGTCACAAAGAGTTGGTCATGACTAAGCAACCAAGCACAGCACAGCACACATAAGAAAAAAGTTACAAAGCATATACATTGTGTATTACTGATAATATATATTTTAAGTGGCATGCATGCGTGCTAAGTTGCTTCAGTTGTGTCCAACTCTCTGTGACCCCATGGACTATAGCCCACCAGGCTCCTCTGTCCACGGGGTTCTCCAGGCAAGAATACTAAAGTGGATTGTCCTCCTCCAGGGTATCTTCCTGACCCAGGGATTGAACCCACATCTCTCACATCTGCTGCACTGGCAGGAGGGTCCTTTACCACTATTTCAAGTGGATAGAAGTATATATACACACATATGTGTAATATATATGTATATATGTGTGTTTTTATTTTACAAGGCCAGAGTTAATTTACTCTGAGAAAGCACACGAAGAAATGAAACATAAAATCAGATGGAGATGAAGTAAGGCCTCATGTACATTTCTTGACTGTGCAGAAGTTGCTACAGTTGAATCTGACATTTAACCTGGAGCTTCCCAGCTGCCTGATGGAAGTGAGACCTTGTCAGCTTCTCCTTTTACAAAGGGGGCGGCGTCGACTCCCCGCCCCCACCTTTTAGCCGCGAGTTTGGGGCAGTGTCCGTCCTCATCTGTCTGTGTGTCGGCCTCCTCGCCAGCACGTGGAGATGACAACAGAGCCACCGCGAGTGAGGAACGAGCTGACGCCCAGGGCTTGCAGGTCCCCCCGCCCCGTCTACCGCAGTGACAGCTGTTGTTTTCAGACAGACGTCTGCGTGTGCTTCTCAAAGGAAGCAGAGCTATAGGTAGCACACTGCGCGGGTGTTTTCCTGTTTAAACTGTTATCGCAGGCGATCAGGTGGCAGTCAGTGACCTCAAGGTGTTTTTACGACGTTGGTGATTCATTTCATATGCAAATAGTGATCAGCTGGATAATGAGTTTCCTCGTGGCTCAAGGCTCAAGGTGCCCTTGGCGCCAGAGCCCAGGGCCGCTCAGCGTCAGGGAGCAGAAGCGGGCTCCCCACTGGATGGGGAGGACTTGTGAGCTCCGTGCAGCCGAGATAACGCCCAGCCGTTTGTCTACTCTGCCGCAGACAGATATTGCCCTAAGAATTTTCATGTAGCATTTTAAAAAAAGTTGCGCTTCTTTTTTAATTTCC